TTAATTAATAAGTGAATTCCATATGATAATTTTTTTTTTTTTTTGAGATGAAGTCTCACTCTGTCACCCAGGCTGGAGTGCAGTGGCGTGATCTTGGATTACTGCAACCTCCCCCTCCAAGGTTTAAGTGATTCTCCTGCCTCAGCCTCCAAAGTAGCTGGGAATACAGGCATGTGCCAGCATGCCTGGCTAAGTTTGTTGTTGTTGCTTTTTTTTTTGTATTTTCAGTAGAGATGGTGTTTCATCATGTTGGCCAGGTTGGTCTCCAATGCCTGACCTCAAATGATCCACCCACCTCGGCTTCCCAAAGTGCTGGGATGACAGGCATGAGCCGTAATATTTTAGTAGGTGGCCCAAAACTGACTGTTGTTTCTCTTTTTAATTATTAAACATACCAAAAATAATGAAAAGAGTAAATTTCAAATGTCTCACTATAAAAAATGTTAGGTAAGTGGGGTGATAGATGGGTTAATGTGCTTGATTTAATCAATCCACCTTGTATACAGACATCACATCACACTGTACACCATAAACATATACAATAATGCATCCATCAAAAATAACAATAAAAACTGAAAAAATATTAAACATACCTTGGAATCCTGATACTATCTGGACGACATCTTCATATACCATTAGAGTGGCAGAGCGTTCTGGAAGCAGGCCAAGGCTCAGAGAAGAAAATACTGCAGGAAAAATAAATGGATAGAAGGGGATTTTATATTTACTTTTAAGTGCCCACTCTAATTTTTGGGATACTTTGCAGTTTTTGTATTTTCTGATTTCAAATCAATTAATAAGATTAATTTTTAATTAGATTAGCAACAGATCTTCAAAATGCTACAAGTGTATTGCAATGTCTCATATAACAATTACTTGCCCTATAATGGTCAACTTTTTTCATTTGTTAGAAGTTTTCTTTTTTTTTTCCTTTTTTCCGAGACAGAGTCTCGCTCTGTCGCCCAGGCTGGAATGCAGTGGCGCGATCTCAGCTCACTCTAACCTCCGCCTCCCGGGTTCAAGTGATTCTCCTGCCTC